AACAATTGCAAATAGCAGCTAACTTAATTCATGTGATGTGTGTACTGCTAGGCATCTTTGTTTTCCTCTTGTGTAATTTAGATGGAAAATGTGTGCCTTTTTATCGTTTGAGTCACTTATCAAAAGTTGCCAAATAAATTTTAAAAATAGCTACATTTGTTGCTAGGTGCTTTTGGAAGAAAAAGCTGCTAGGGAAGTGTGAAAATTTAGCAACAAAATTGCTAAATTGGCAACAATGACTGTATGTGAAAAACATGTGACAGTAATAGGCCTATACAGTCTGTGAAGGGAGGTGCCATCTAGAGGAGTTTAATCACGCTGACTGTAGAGTTTCAGTAAACCGCTTCAGTTCAGCCGCACTATCTTCAGCTCTTCTATCCATTTCCACATTCAAATGTTTTATTATAAGATTAATTTTGTGTTCACATTTTCAAGATTAGGGACTGTTTTTTTTTTTTTTAAACCGTTCAGCAAAACAGAAATATTTGACATGTTTATATTATTCTCTTTGTGCCTATGGCGACTAAGTGGTAAGTATATTTATGGTTTCGTTTCTGTTTATCCTTTGTCCACATGCATCTTTATTATTATTATTATTATTCCATCATTAATTTTCATGTTTTATTAGACTAATATACTCAAATATCTTTAGTCTTTATGTTATTTGTGACCCTGGACCACAAGGGTAAATTTTTTGAAATTAAGATTTATAGATCATCTGAAAGCTGAATAAATAAGCTTTCCATTGATGTATGATTTGTTAGGGCAATACAGGACAATATTTGGCCGAGTTACAACTATTTGAAAATCTGGAATCTGAGAGAGCAAAAAAAATAAATAAATAAAAATCCTGAGAAAATTGCCTTTAAAGTTGTCCAAATGAAGTTCTTAGCAATGCATATTACAAATCAAAAATTAAGTTTTGATATATTTATGTTAGGAAATTTACAAAATACCTTAATGGAACATGTTCTTTATTTAATATCCTAATAATTTTTGGCATAAAAAAAAAGATATTTTTGACCCATACAATGTATTTTGGGCTATTGTTACAAATATACCACTGCTACTTAAGACTTTGTGGTCCAGGGTCACATTTTATATTTTTTTCTCTTCCATTGACATTAAAGGATTTATTTGATTGTACATCATTGAACTATACATTGAAATTCATAAAGTAAAGAGTAGTTTTACAATGATACATTTTTAAACTCAAAATCTGGTAAATCTCCAAATTTTGAGTAAATATTCCTGTTTGTTCATCAGGTGTGTTTGGTGTTGATGCAGCGAAGTTAGTGCCAGAGTCAGTGATGGAGGGAGATCTTGTCACTCTAAGAACTGATGTTACTGAAATACTGCAATATGATCCGATCCAGTGGAGGTTTGGAGACATTCTCATAGCTAAAATCAACATGAAGGAAAATAAGAGCATATTTTATAATACCAGTGCTGCTGAGAGACTCAGAGACAGACTGAAGCTGGATCATCAGACTGGATCTCTGAGCATCACAAACACCAGAACCACAGACTCAGGAGTTTATAAAATAACCAGCACTGAAACAGAGACACCGCTCAACACATTCAATCTTACTGTCTATGGTGAGTATAATATTTACCCTGTTTGATGCTATGGATGTTTCTTCAATGGCCAATTTTGGCTATAGACCTCATCATTAATCATTTCTTAATCATTTTAAACCTGGCATAATATCCCTCTTTTTTGTCTGGCCAAGGATAAATACACAGCATTTGGGCATCCTAAACACCTGATAGTTTTTTCTCAATATTCCTGTAGATAATTTATTCAATCACAGCTTGATTGTGAATGAGGCATAATAAGAATATTCTGTGTAATTTAGCTTAAAATGTCCATGCTTTATTCACACAGCACGTCTCATTTTTCATCTCAGGCTCTTCAGTGACTGTTGTCTCCTTGTTGTTAAATGTGTACACTATTCTTTCAATATAAAATAGTTTGAATATAGGATTGTTTGTAATGCTATACTTTTGGTCAGTCTTGATTCCTCATCTTATTCTCTTTTATCTTTATTCTCTCATGTCTTCCAGCTCGTATCTCTGTTCCTGTCATCAACCAAGACTGTACATCATCATCATCAAACAATAATTGTTCATTGTTGTGTTCAGTGGTGAATGTGAGTCATGTGACTCTCTCCTGGTACAAAGGAAACAGTTTATTGTCCAGCATCAGTGAGTCTGATCTCAGCATCAGTCTCTCTCTACCTCTGGAGGTGGAATATCAGGATAAAAACACCTACAGCTGTGTGCTCAACAATCCCATCAGCAACCAGACTCAACATCTCAACATCAGCAGACTCTGTCAGACATGTGCAGGTACATCAGTGTTTATACATCTGTTTATTTACTGAACTATGAAGTTATATAGTGCTGATATATCATATAGGCTAGTGGTTGTTGCAGATTAATTCAAATTAATGCTTCATTTTGTCCATTATAGATCAGGGCATATCCTGGTTTTACAGATTGATCATTTCTGCTGCTGCTGGAACTCTGTTGATTTTAGCTGCATTTGGAATCTTCTGCATCTGCAGGAAAACAGACCAAGAGGGCAAGTATTACCCACAGCTGAGATACCTGTAAAAATACATGGTTTTGAGTTGACTCTGGGTGTTGAATAAGTAGAAAAATAATGCACACCTGTGATGATGCATTTTTTTTTTTTAATAATTCAGCACCCCAGAGTCAATTATACAGTTACCACACCTCAATATAATGACATTGTCATTATAGAGCTAGTAACAGAGATTTGAGCCATTGATAATGCAGTTATTAAAGAGATCTATAAATTGCTTAAGCGTGTGTGAATTAACTGAGTATGTGCTTTCAACAGGTCCACAGTATAATAATAAAATGTAAAACAGTGTTGTAAAGAAAACACAACAATACTGTAATTCTCAAAAAAATTTATTCAGAGTTTTGTTGTTTTTAAATGTTTGGCATTATTGTTGAAACAGTTCAGAGTGGTGAAGAAATCACTTACGCTGATCCAACATTCTACAAAAGAAAAGCACAGAAATCGGTAAGAAATTTTTATTTTGTGTAAGGTGTGTATTATTTCAGCAGTGTGTTTGTACAGCAGTCAGCTGTGTGTTTGTGTATATGAGTTCAAATATGTGAGTTCTGGTTCTATGATCTATCACACAACAGCACCACATCTAAATGTATTTTTAATATTCCTCATTAATGGCCAGTAATATTCCTGATTACTACATGTGAACGTGTGTTGGTGTTTTCTTTCAGAGAGTTCAAGAGGAGGAGGATGTTGTATATTCAGGAGTCGCCATGAGACATTGATGCAGCTATGAGATACTGCCAACTTTCTAGAACCCAATTACCCAAAAATGAAAAAGGAGGTGGTTAACTGTACAAGTGCAGATATATTATGTGAATATAATTATATATGCATATTTTATATCACACACAGACCTGTGAATATTGAGGATCTCATGCTAATGGTGTTCAGTCATAATGACATTTCTTAAACCTAACACCCACACAATCCTCGTTCTCAAATAGGTATATTATGAAAGTTAATGTGGTATTAAATGGAAATTAATGGATTTTATCTCAGGACTTTTGTCCCGTGTTTCTGTTTAGTGCATGTTTGTATTGTTTTCAGATTCAGTCATATAGTATTACTGTAGTAATGGTGTGTCTGTGTGTCTCTGCTGATACAGATTAATGTGCTGGAGCTCTACCTATAGTTGATGAACATGTTATTTCACTAACAGCTCTCTCTAACCCAGGGGTTCTCAACTCATGCCCTCAACTTTCCTGTTTTGCTCCAGCCTTGATCAAACTTGATGTTTTATTAACAAGGTTCGGGAGGAGCGCGTCAGATACTTAGCCTAATTAACACAGGTGGAGCGCACTCAAGTTAATCAACACCATGGTATAAATACAGCTGACTTACCTCTATCCATTGACGGTTTATCAGCATCCCGCCTCCGCTCCATCTTCTCACTTTGAATTCATACTACACTTATACGGGGGGTACTCTAGGTTTGGGCCATTCCCAAGCTCGGAGCCCTTCCCCGGACAGCACACCAAATATGCATTACTGTACTTCAGCTAATTATATGTAAGCGTGAAAGTGTAACTTTCTAGTAATCCTGAAGACCTTGGTTAGCTTGTTTGTGTGTGTTTGATCAGGGTTGGAGTTAAACTCTGCAGGAAAGTGGACCTCGAACCCCAGAGTTGAGAACCCCTGATCTATCCCCTTTCACACTGAGATTCTGGAAATTAAACTGATAATTTGTCCCATGATCATATGATTTTGGTTCATTCACACTGCCAGTGATTTTCTGGAATCTGTCCCTTTCTCACTCAAGCTCATGCATTTTTTTAAAAATTTGATACACTAATGCATCGCATGCTGTTTTGCTGGCGAACAGTCTCATCTTCAGCGCAGATAGTGAGGAGCTCCCTGCTTCTTTCCAGTTTGCAGACATTTTT